TCAATCTTTAAACCCGGTAAAAAGACATATATGAAATTACCTGATCGCGAAAAAGTATTACCCTTTCCAAAACATGAACATTTCCACATATAAAATAAATAAAATATCCAAAAACTTTTACCTCTAAATATCTATATATTATAACGTCACCAACGAATTCATACCGCAAACCATTACAAATACTTAGTGTCAAATATTTAAATTATTTCCATGCACGTTACTTCAACTAAAACGTATACCAAATTCCTACAAACATAAAATTCACAAAATAACTATCATTTAATTAAAATATAATTAAATTCAAAAACACTACTTAAAATATAAATGAGAACATACATTACATTAATAAAAATTACCTTACAATCCTAATACTTTAAACTAAATCATTGCTAATAACAATTTTCCAATAATACCAAATTACTTTACTTCCACCTTACCTTTAGAACAATGCATAAAAATAATATCCTCAAATAATTAAAAATACTAACTTACCTAATCTTCTTCAGAATCTTGATTACGTGTCCGAATAAACGTTTCTTCTTTGTTTCGGATCTTTAAAATCATACTTATTTTCACGCAAGGTACCAGGTTAAAAATAAATAACTTAAGAAACATCTTTATTTCTATCTCGCACAACCTTAAAAGAAAACATTATTATACCCTTTTCAATACCCATTTTGAATTCACTTTAGTTACGGCCATGGAGATCCAAAAATTCACAACACTGTTTCACACAACACAGAATAAAGCCAAATAAAAATTCCAGATTTTTTCCCGATTTCCCCCTTTTCCGATTAAAGAACTTAATTCGTCCATTAATATCACATGACATATCCCATGATCTCTCATTTCCTCACACAAAAATAATGCGTAATCGGAACTGAGTACTGCTCACATTATTACCAAAGTCCCAGGTAGTAACCTTTATCGCCTCCAAAATGTCGCCAAACTACCAGTTACCATATTGTAAAGATCAACCAAAACTTGTATTCCAAATTAAGTTTTAACTTGAAATTAATGTAGATACACACTGAGAGAATTAGTTTTTTGTAGCATAGTTTACGTGAGGTGATTTCACTTGGGATCACGTGATACGAACCGGCGAATCAGGATGTTGAACCATAAAAGCATAGTAAATTTTAAATGAATTAATTTTTACAACTTTATTGTCTTTATTTACTGGCTTTTTACTAAATTTTAAACCATATTAAAATGTTTATGCCTTCAAAAGAAAAAATTCTTAGAACTAACATTTGTTAACATTTTTTATGTGTATACGGTATGCTGTCGCCAAGAAAGTCTGCTTGGCCGGCGAAACGGAAAAGTACCCAAATACAATATACTTAACACAGAGGAGAATCATAGCTTTCTTAGGTCTAATAAAATATTCCACAGCTCTGAATACCATTTTTTTTAATTTAAAGAAGTTTAATTTTTTAAACACCTGAAATCATGTGTTATAACCTTTACTACGAAAAGCTAAAAATTTCTCAGAATAAGAGATTGCTGCCTGAGCACAAAAATCTGTCATTTATCTCTGTCTTCTAAAAGAGCGTTAAACATCAGAGCAAGAAAGTGAACCATTAAAAAACAATCTACTCCCTCCTTCTTTGCACTTTGCAACAAGTGTTATTCGCATATATATTATGAGCATAATTAATCAGCGCTATTTCTAAAACGATTTATTACGTAACCCAACCGTAGTCTAATTTTTACGTTCAAATTGGTGTGAATTTAAACTAAAATTTAAGTTGTAGAGACATTAGGTATTTCTGGAAGCGGGCAAGATGAAAAATTAGCAACGCCTTCGGCGGGAATCGAACCACGGATCTCTCAATTACGCGCTGAGCGTGCAGACCACCACACCACGAAGGCATGCCAAGAAGGCGGGATAAATACTTTATATAAAATCACTATGAAATTCACTGGTAAAATATAAACTGCGATACTTTGCATACCTGCACACAGATATACATTCCAATTTTATTCGTTTATTTTTAGCTTTATAAATTCTTACATTAAAAACGGAAGCCAGAAATGTAAACTTTATCATTCAGTATTGAAATACTGAGCAGAGTTTTAATTTAATTTAAGGGTAACAATTTGGTTTTATCACATAATAATAAAAAGCGTTATTTTTGTTCTAGTTCAGAAGCGAAATATTTCTATGATTTCGCCTGCAAAGTTCGCTTCTTAGTATTCAGAATCCTTTCAGTTTTTGTCTAATTTACATGTCATAAATATTTCTGAAAGTTTCAGAAAATATTCCTGAAAATAATACAGAAATATTTCTGAAAATTTTAATTTCGCCAGAAATACTCCTGAAAGTGCAAGAGAAATATTGCGATACTTATGTGTATTTTTCCGTTAATAACATAAATTTAATTATAAAAATATGCATGCATTAATAAATATTTCTCCTCATTAACGAATACCATTTTTCCTGACTTGCAAGTTTTAGTCGGAAAAGCTGCAAAACTCGAATCTAAAACCAAATTACACTGCAAGCACTTTCTCTCTCACTCCCTCCCTTTTCCTCACTCAATTTTTTTTAAACGTTTGACAGCTTTTTAGAAATAAACCTTTTACGCATCTTTCAAATACTAACCTTATTACTGAATTTCTTATTCTAACTGAAAGCATTAGAAAATGCTTGCACTAGAGGCAAACTTTACGTAACAGGTTAGAGAAAAATTTCACATAGCTATTCGGCTCTTTTGAAGGGAAAAAAAAAAAAAAAGAAAAACCTGGCTAATCTTTGGAATATGGTAACAGGTAGTTTGGCGACATTTTGGTAAGGCAATAAAGGTTACTAGCTAGGACTTTAGTAGTGTACAAGTCAAGAGTGTGCGAAATGCCATTTTTGTGCAATTCTGGGATGTTTTTTTTAAGTGAAAATAGATCGACGTGTACATGGATACCGTGTATGTGCAATTCTTAAAAACGCGTGAAGCAGTTTGCGATTCTGCACTTTCTCCCAATTTCGCACCTAATCTTCGTCATGATTAAGCATTTTTGTTCCATAAAAGTTCTAGTATAAGCGTAATTTGGCTAGCAGATTGTTGGAAAAAATGTTGAGTAAAAAAAAAATGGCGTCCAAAACTAGCAGGTTGCTGTAGCAGGGTTGGTCGCCAAATTTTCGCCAAAAATCGCCAAGTTACCATAATCCGAAGATTAACCAAAAACCTCACATATCTGAAATATCTGCGTCTACGCTAACAAATGCAATGAAGCTATTTGAAAAGAATCATTCAGCCCATTATATCTAAGGAGGTGTCCAGATTGTTGTTTGAACGAAGTTGAGAGATATAATGTAAAAGTTAAATTTATTGATCTGTGAATTTATTAGCTAAAGTTTTGCATAATGCTTCGTAATATTTACTGTTCAATAGGGATTTAACAGAAATAATGAACGTTATTGATCTAAAATGTCCCATAATTTTCTTCGATTGAAAAACTAACCGACTGACTGTTTAAGCACAGTACCTTTTATTCTATATAACAGAAGATGATAAATTGAAGAAGATTCGTAATATTAAATTGAATATGTATGTCTAATTCGAGCGGTATCATATTACCTAAAAAGCAGAGTTTCTTGTTCAATGCTATTTGAACAAAGGCTTATTACAGTTTTCGGTTTAAAAAAATTATCGCAAGAATTCCTTATTTTAAATATATTATTCGTCTGATAATCGACGCCACAGTTTCATTACATTTAGCATCGCAGCGAAGTAAAATGGATTCCTAGTTTATACATATATTAAAAAAATGAAGCGCTACCAAACATTTACGGACTTCCAAACAAGACTTATAATTAAAATATATTTTCATATAAAACTGCTTTCCGTGTTTTAATAGCTATTTAGCGTAAAAATATCGATACATTCATTCATTAAATACTTTTCTTAATTCCATTTGGTTCTGCATACATAAGCAATGACATTCTAATTATTAGCATTCGTTTAAAAAAATGTGTGTTTAAAAAGAATAAAAATGAAACAGCAAAATTTTATATGCCATTACAGAAGACATAACACAATTAATTTCTGATCCCTTTTCCTGTTTGGAAAGTGTAATTTTCTGCTAGTGACAGATTTCAAAACGTGTAACATATTTTCCGTATCAGTAATTAACTAACACACCGTTAAATTCATTATTAATTTAGCATAAAATATAAATTCAGCTGCAGAATTCCTTAATAATACAAAATAATTATTACCTCTTAATTTTTAAACGGAAAATAAAAACGAAATTCCTTTGATAAAATTCACTGGATCAATATACTTTTAAAACTAAAATTCAAAGCAAAACGGCCCACTAGTGGCGAATGGATAAAACTGTTAAACTTTAGTAGTTCGACTCTGGTACAAATCCCAGCGAACAAGCTAACTGCGTGGGTTTCTCGTGCCCCCCCTCCAATTGTGCAACGTAAATGCGAGCCGGTGTCCCAGAAGTCTTCCACAAAGACAACCTTCCTCTTAGCTCCCTCTTGTGCTTTGTTGTATTGGAGTATATAAATAAATAAATTCCTTTGGTGCTTTGCTATGTTTAAATACAAGCAAATTTTTCTGGTCCTCCACGAAAACATCTCTTCCTTTAAAAATATATCCCAGTCGTGCGTTTGCTATCTCATTTAACTATCAGAATAAAATGCTTGTAAAAAGCAATTAGTGTAGCTTAATCTAAATATATTGGAATAGAAGTTAAAATAAAAAAGTGTGCTGTAAGCATTTTATTTTGAAATTCTCCACTTTTGTTGATAAATTAGGTTGAGCATTTGCATCTTTGAAATGCTGTGTCTAAAATGTCCCCCATATGTAATTTAAGTGCAGATATGACCAGCGAAAAAATAAATATGTTCAGCGAAAAAATAAAAATTATGTAAAGTCTTATAAGACATTTTAACACATTAGTGCTCTGTTATCTCTAATAAAGCTATCAGAGAACAGAGACCAATGTTTTCTATGCATTTTTGGAAACAGAATAACGGTTTCACTTACCGTGCCAGCAGATGTTACGAAAAAAGTTTGTAAAAGAACTTTCTTCGACAAGCGTCGGGCTTTCTCACCCGCGAAAGAAGATAAAAATAAATAAAAAGCACGCGGGAAAAGCTTCTTCGAAAGATGATCAACAGGTTGTTTCCCGCCAGCCGATCACAATGCACCTCTTCTTTTGCACAGTCGCAGATTACGGTCGAACTTATCCTATGACCAATCACACTTCAACATTATCTTGATTAGTTTATAATCTTCATGTAGCTGATAAGACATACGACGCTACGGATGGTCGAATTCGGAATGTCTGGCGGGCTTCGGTCTCTTGACCCAAACTTCTGCGCCAAGGGTTACTGTAAAGTTTTGCACTCTTTATCGCCAATTGCGGCTACTTCTGTTGCCAAGTTCCTTGGCTTTCCCTTTTTGTGCGCTTGTGTATGAACCGGACAGGGCAGCAATTCATAAAATCAAGTTGTTAAGCGCCGCGTTTTGGCAGCGTGTCATTGTAATGGATTTTCCTCTGGCGATTAGATTTAAATCTGACGAGAGAAGCATATATTTAAATTGAATTCTTTTTCATGGAAGGTGAATTCATAGAAGATGCTGAATACCTGTGCCGTGGTGGGAGGAGAGGAAAAAAAAAAAAAAAAAAACTAATTTCACGCAGAAATGAAGCTCGAAATTTTACTTTTCTCGTGCGTTTTAAGAATGAATTAATACGCAAAGTAGGGAACTGACTGAACTAATGTCTCTGTGTTTTAAGCATTCATGTTCTGGTTCGTTTTGCATTTATTTTTGTTTTTACTCTTTAAAGATAGAGATGGAATAAATGCATTTATTATCATCTTGAATGTTTTTCTTACATACGGATTAAAAAGAATTAAAAAGAATTACAGGAGTTAAAAATGGTTTACAGAAGGAATGAATGGAGGCTGAAACTTAATTGAATTTCTATGTTTACAACTGCTTTCTGAAATCAAACCAGTCTTTTCATGCGTGAGTATTTATTCTCCATTCAGTAGTAAGCCTTGAAACATTTCTTTTTCTATTTATTTCTTCAAAGAAGCTAACTTTGACACTCACTTCTTAGGATTGGATTGGATTATTAAATTATGGCAAAGCACACGAGGGCTATCTGCCTAAAGGGAGGGATGCCTTCGTGGAGGACTTTCTAAGGGAAACTGGCTCATATACACGTTACACATGGGGAAAACCAAGAAAACTCCCATGCAGCCAACTCGTTCGCGGGATTCGAAACTCGGACCGAACTACCAGTGTTCAGCGTCTTTACCGCTCGGCCACTGGTGGGCCTCACTTCTTAGGAAACAGAGATATATAAACAGGCTGTATTTCTTATGCACCAAACTTTGCATGTTTTTATTTCATAGGTGCCTTCATTCTTTATACTGAAAGATGACTAGACGCACGACCCTAACTGGCATCAGGTCGAAACTTGTACACTGCAGGCGGGAGAGGCTCAGATAAAAAGAACATTTGTGAAAAATCAAGAACCAGCTTCTGCTAGTTCATTTAGAGGGACTGTAAAGCTTTGCTATTTTTCTAAGCTCTAAATCCGCAATAGTTTATTTCTTCCAGATATTGCCTGCTACAAAAAAAATTGGATAAAATTTAATAAAAGGAGAAACATTAAACAAAACTTTCGAAACAACCATGCCTATCTATTTTATTTGATAAATGTATCGACTCGAAACGCGCATGCTTCTTTATACTCATTCTTACGAATATGGCATGAAAACAATTTTATACTTGAATCTCCATTTTATTTAAATTTATAGGCATTAGATTTAAACTCATTATATCGTGGTGTATACGAGCCAGTTTCCCTTAGATAGTCCTCCACGAAGGCATCCCTCCTCTTAGGCAGATGGGCCCACCAGCGGCCGAGCGGTAAAGACGCTGAACACTGGTAGTTCGGTCCGAGGTTCGAATCCCGCGAACGGGCTGGCTGCATGGGCGTTTTCGTGGTTTTCCCCATGTGTAACGTGTATACGAGCCAGTTTCCCTTAGAAAGTCCTCCACGAAAGGCATCCCTCCCCTCAGGCAGATAGCCCTAGCGTGCTTTGCCATAATTAAATACACACACCTCTTAGGCAGATATCCCTCGTGTGGTTTGCCATAATTAAATACACACCACCATTAAATCTTAATTGTGTGCAAGCATTAAATGAGCTGTTTTCTTTGAAAGTGGTGCAAGTCCAGGTTTGATCAAAAGTTAATTAGTGTTAATAATGAATGCAATCTGCTATGAGGTTTTATCTATGAACAGTGCCCCCCCCCAACAAAACAAATCCTTGAAAATTTTCATTTTCGTTAATATAAATTTACGTAGTTAATGAAATTACAAATATGATTACTTTGAAAGTGGTGTAAGTCCACTTTCGGCAAACACATAATATTTAGTTCAAACACTGCACTACACAATTTCTCTACTTTGTTTTTAAACGTGTGCGGGGGAATATTGTTATCGTTCGTTCATAGGAATTTTATTACGTCACCCGTTTATTGTAGGGTATAAAACTTAAAAATGCCTTCTATTTGTTATCTTAACTTAAAGTAAATAAGTGCGGTTAGTAATTTTGTTACTAACTGTTAATTTTATAACAAGTGAGCATTTTACATTATATAATATTCGGAATGGATATTATATAATATAAATATCCTTAGAATCGGGCAGTGATTTAGGTAAAAAATAAACTCTTATCTTGATATATTTTAATTAATTTCAATATTTTATTATTATTATTTTATAGAAATCCTCCCAATAAATAGAAACAAAAAAAATTAATCTTGGAATCAGATTCTGATGAAAACTATACATATTTAATAAAAATTTCATAAAAAAATTGGTTTGATTCACTTGAAATCCCATATTTAATACTTCATAAATGTATGGTGTTTCATATATTTTAACTTTCAAAGCGATGTCAATTCATTTGAAGCCATCAAAAGTATAAATTTATTTTAACTTTAATGATCACATTGTAATTTTAAATCTCTTCAGTGTTTATATTAAAAAACATAAAATGAACGTATTATCGTATGTCAATATCTTTCAGACCGTTTAAATTATCGCCATATAATACAAAAAAAGGGATTTACACCACTTTCAAAGAAACGGCTTCAAGGAAAGTATTTACAAGCATTAAATTAGATTCAGATCTACAATCATTAGATTTTGCAATCTGTTTGCATTAGATTTTGCAGTAATCTGTTTGTTCAGTAATGTAATATCCGGCCTTCGTTGCTTTGAATCAGCTTGCATTCTCAAACCACTTTGTGTCCTGGTCTTTTGCTTTGTGCTGCATGTTGTTGTCTATCCCGAATGGCATGGTTTGTTTTGCTTGATTACGAAAAAGCACGCCTAAGAGGAGGGATGTCTTCTTGGAGGACTTTCTACAAGAAACTGGCTCGTATCTACGTTACACACGGAGAAAAACACGAAAACATCCAAACAGTTGGCGCTTTCCCTGGGATTTGAGTGCCCACCAGCGGCCGAGCGGTAAAGTCGTTGAACACTGGTAGTTCGGTCCGAGGTTCGAATCCCGCGAACGGGCTGGCTGCATGGGCGTTTTCGTGGTTTTCCCCATGTGTAACGTGTATACGAGCCAGTTTCCCTTAGAAAGTCCTCCACGAAGGCATCCCTCCCCTTAGGCAGATAGCTCTAGTGTGCTTTGCCATAATTAAATACACCACACACCCTGGGATTTGAGCCCGAGTCCAATTAGCATTGTTCAGCGATTTTACTGCTCTGCCATTGGTAAGTTTTAAGTCGATTGAAGAGGTCTGCAATCATCAATAACTATTGCATTTGTATCAACGAAGTTTATAGTAATCGATAATTACTTCAGTTCAGCCTGTGCTAGAATCCCTTGCCTTGAGCTTATTTGCATGAAATATGTTTATTAAGGGGTTAGCTCTTATTCTACTCGAAATGCTCATTACTCATCAAGCATGCAAAAAATAACAAGAAACTTCTGGATTTGTGAATCTCTATGTACACCGTAAATTTATTCTCCTTAAGTGTAATAAAAAAGCGTAGCCTTAATCCCTTAGAAAGTCTTCCACACGCGAAGCATCCCTCTAGATGCAAAAAATAACCCTTAATGAAATTAAGTAAACTCATAATTTCTATGTGGATTTCCTTTTCCTGCTTATAAATACCAAGTCCTCATCCATCCAAAAATGAATCTAGGGTGCACGTGCGCAAGTTCGTCAACTTGCGGACGACTCCTATCACCGCTAGCTTAATTCTGCATTGCTTTATCAGTACACTCGTTTTTGCTCTGTTTTTACTCTTACCGCCTGGTGACGAGGGTGAAGTTTAGGATTTGCCTTTATCACAGAAATTAATCTAGGAAGCTACGTACGGTAACAGGCTATTTCTTATTTTTCATTACTGCTTATGGAAGCGTAGTTTACAGTCCATCATTAAGTTTTGCATCTACAATTTACCAAATCTTGAATTTTTATACTCAAGTTATTCCAACAAAATAATCTACTGACGTTATTCTAATAAAATATTTTGGTGAGAGATTTTACTTGTTTCTTTAATAACAGGCTTCTTCATTTTTAGGATCAGGGTTCTCCATCATTAGTCAACACATTTTACTGACCATTTATTTAATGCAGAGGTTACCGGAGGTTACAGGGTCGGTATCGACCCTGTAAGGGAAGTCGATGAAATTGTAAAGCGGCTCAATGTTGATCAAGAGATCGATAGCCGAATATGCGTCGGTAATTGATCGGAATAATTAAAATAACATCGATTACAAAAATATATTAATAAAATTGATAATTAATTGTTTAGTTTTAAATTTGTTTATAAAACTATATCAAATAGTGAGGAAGAAATCATATAACATAAAGGGGAAATACACTGATATTATTGTAAAATCAATAATAATCAATCAATAATCTATAAAAAATCAATATTTTTCCCAAAATGAAAGTTATTATCAAACGAACATTATTGCCTTTTCCCTATTCTTTCCAAGAAAAAGCAGACTTCAGTTAAATCAATAATTTACTATGTAAAACAAGAAACAGGTCGAATATTTTTGAACGAGCTGATTTAAAAATTAATTAGGTAATTTTATGCAGAATATTAAAAAAAAACTGCTTAAATGCATGAAGCGCAAACACATCGCATTAATTAAAATCGAACTTTCGTACAATTAGAATCTATGATTTTGTTTCAGAAGACTTGTTTATATTTGCATTATTTAAAATAACGATA